AACCCAAGGAATGCTTGCAGTATTCGTTAGCAACAATTATTCACATTAAAAGATGCTGAAAATTACGATCACCCGCGTCAATGCATGCCTGAAATATCGACTACAGGAAACCCTTCCCGAACTGTTAGAAATTGTTTCCCTGTATGCCAAACAAAGCATGTGGTACCAACACGATGGAGGTCCACCATATAAGGTACTCGTAAGCCGTAAAAGAACATCTCAACAAAACATAATCTGGAAAGAGTGTTTGGTAAGGGCGCACCTATTGCATGGCCTCCAGGTTCACCAGACCTGACCGAATGCGACTTTTTGTTATGATGTCATATGAAAGTGAACGACACTCCAGTTAAAACAGAGGAAGTGGGAAGGATTGTTGCAGGAGCTGCTGAAATTCGCGAAACGCCAGGAATTTTTCAACGTGTTCAGGAGGCTATGCTATAGCGCTGTCACGGATGCGCAGGCGGGTGCGGTCCTAATTTTGAGCATCTTCTAATGTGATTCATTGTTTTTAATAAATACTGTAAGCAGTCCTGGGATTTCTGTATTATTTATTAACACAGTTTCAGCTTCAGACACGTTTCTTCGTGCGCAACGTAGCTACCACAGCGCGGATTGTAATGTGCTATTATCACTTAACCAAAGCGCATGCACCTATTGGTTTATAAGTAAAAAACGGTTATTTTGGCGAGATCTATCATCCCTTAATTTTTGGCACAATAGTTTCGGAACACCCTGTATAATATGTAACAAAAGAAATAGCACAATATAGAACTATTTTGTTTTCGCACAAATTGTATGGAAGTATATTTAAATGACTTTTTTAAACTGTTTAAAAAGTTGAGCCCGAATTTGTATTTTTTTTTAAAAGAAAGAGTAAAAAATTTCAACAGCACAGTTCACCACACTAAAATTTACATTTATTTTGTTTTTGCTTGATAAAGTATTCGGGAGAATGGGGGGGGGCTGAGCGCCAAGTTGGACTCGCCATAGCAGTTTTTTGGAAAAAAACGAAGGTCAAACGAAAAATTAAATTGAAAATATTTACAGCTCAGTTCAGCGCACTGAAAATTGCATTGATTTTTGCACTTGTCTGATAAAATAATCGAAAAAATGGGGGGGGGGGGGGCTGAGCATCAAGTTGGCCCCCCCTCAAATTTTTGTGAATACCATTGAGTGCAACTCAGCACAGTTCCTAATATAAGCAGCACAGTGAAGCACACTAAGCACAGGTAATTAGAACGAAAAAATACAAAAAAATTGAATAGGCTGACTTGACAGTAGGCATAGAAAAATTAAATGAAAACCTAAATTGATGATAATATTTAAAATTCGGAAATATTAGATGTGACCATCAAAACCTGATTCCCGCCGTCCTCGTGCTTATAATTCCGTAGAAATAATGAGAAGTTGCATTTTCCATTTGTCTATAAGATATACTTTATCTTTGCAATGATTTAATTTTACCATTGGAATTTGAAATTACCGAAGAACAATTAATTTTAAAAAATTCAAATATCTGCCTATAATCGGTCTGTCTCTGGTTCGCATCCATTATATGATAGGAAAAAGCGTCCTTAAACCCTCTTTCCCAGAATTGGGCCTTTTTCGGCAAAAACGCACCAACAGTCGAATAAATCTGAGTGCCAAACCAGCGGCGCTACAGAAAAAAATAACTCGTAAAACACGCCGTATATCAGTTTTGCCTACCCCACTGTTCACAGGCCCACCCTCTCTTTCATCTTCATAGCTAAAAACATTTTGCTGTAGGTCAGGGACGCTGCTACCTGTCGGACTGCATCCTTGTTCCCCTTTGGCTATCTCCCTATTACGTTGTTTCGCTCATACATTGAATTTTCCCTATCACACACCCTTGGGATTTACGTGTTACTTTCACTAGTAGTATAATGCGGTTTAGGTGCGTTGTTGTAAGGGCAAAACTTCGCCAATTTTACGGATATTCAATACCTTACCATTCTTCAAGAAAGGTGGAAATAGAAAATAGACCCAGAGAGGATATTGTTGATATTGTCTCAAGAGGCCAATGGCGTAGATATTAGAAATTGAATCGTTAAAAACGGATGAAATGATCAAAATCGTGATAGGTAAATATAAATAATACCATTCCATTCCAAAGCCATCCATGAAATGTGGATATAACGGTTCAATTTATTCCTTAAAACAGCCGCTAGGCATAGGTATAGTTAGGTAGGTACCTGCGGTGCGTTAAAAATGGTACCGTTAGGATTTAAAAAGGGTTTATAAGGTCGCCATTTTTTGCCACCTGATCAAAGCCCAACATGATTTCTTATCACGAGAGAAATCGTGTATGCCACTCCGTAATAAAGCAATAAAATATTAAAGAACCAATTTATGACCCTTAGCAATTCGGCAACAAGAAGGAAAAGGAAAATAAATCCTTTTAAAGCAGATATATTATTCTTCTCTATAATTTTGTTACAGAACCGTATGTAATACTTTTTTAGAACTATAGATATTACTAAAATTTTATAATATAAAAAATGACTTTGTTCAAATATTGAATATCTTTTATTTCGAACGAATAAATACTCCGAAACAAAATATAGACATTCTAGAATCGATTTCAACTTTATAGCTTTGAATATAAAATTTAAAAAATTATTTTTGATTAATTTGGTAGAGTTTGCTTTCCAAACCAATGCTCGCCTCAAACTTCAATGCATGGAACGACGAGACTTCATTTGTACGATCATAATCACGCGACCAAAATCCTGTCGATGGTTGTACCGACACCCGGCATAAGGCATACGTTACGATGTATAATAATGGTCGCTATAAAGCCAGTCTACTGACTATATATTTGAGGCTCGTCCGATAAATGTCTATAAAGACGATTCATGTACCAAAATTATCGTTAGTTTGCCACGTTTTAAGCCTCTACACCAGTAAACCCTACCCAAACCAAGTAGTACTGTTATAGAACCGTGATGCATAGCCGATTTTGGTGGCAGTGATTTAAACTATATCACCCTGGCTCAACCTCAAGCCGTATATTATCGGCAAACTAACCTTGTATGGTTGTTTTGAGTTTCAATTTTATAATTCCGGGAATTTGTTACTTCAAAAACTTATAATAGCCATTGATAATTAATAATAACCACAAACCCCAATAACAACATTAACAACTAACTCTATTGACAGAGACTGAAGAAAAGTAATAGAAACTATGTAAATAGTTTTCCTAACTGTACGGGTGGCCCATTTTCGATGTTTTAATGGGCTATATCAAAAAAAAGCACATATCAAAAGTCTGAGAGCACATTCTCGGGCTCTTTTTTTGAGAAAATAACAATGGCGAAGACAAATCACGGCTAACTTGATGCGTTTAGGAAATACAGGGCAATTTTCAAATTTTGTCCAATTTTAAAAGCCCTTCTAATTTCTTTATAAATAAAGATATTCAAAAATGAAAAATACTTTCAGTTTTTCAAGGCACTTTTTCAAGTAGAATCCATTGGCATGACCAATTTTTTTCCAGATGCCACCGATTTTGGAATATTAACCAAAGTTGGGTTTTTTTAAATGGGACACCCCGTTTATTATTTTTACATTGCATACCTCTTTTTGAGCCGATTTCAATGGTATAAGGTTTCATAGCTTTAGCTTCAATAGTTTTTGACAAAAAATAAATAAATTCCGTTTCTCTATAAGAAACAATGAGTTAGAAAGAGATAGTTGACCTATGAATTGGCTACAAATTTCTTAATTCTCAACCTAATTTTCCAGTTTAGTTATATTTTTATTTTTTTTTTCAATTTTAACTATGAATTGTGGATGATAAATAAGCAACACATAATTTATTTAATAACTTATCTCTTTCCAGCTCATTGTTTCTTGTAGAGAAACGGAATTCATTTTTTTTCTCTCAAAAACTATTGCAGGTAAAGCTATAAAACCCTATACCATTGAAATCAGCACAAAAAGAACTATTCAATGAAAAAATAATATACAGGGTGTCCCATTTAAAATAACACAACTTTGGTTAATATTCCAAAATCTGTGGCATCTGGAAAAAATTGGTCATGCCACTGGATTCTACTTAAAAAACTGCCTCTAGAAAGTATTTGAAATTAGAGGGTCTTTTAAAATTGGACAAAATTTGAAAATTGCCCTGTATTTCCTAAATGCATCAAGTAAGCCGTGATTTGTCTTCGGCATTGTTATTTTCTCAAACAAGGAGCTCGTGAATGTTCTCTCAGATTTTTGATATATCTGCTGGTTTTCGATATAGTTCATTAAAACATCGAAAATGAGGGTCTGTTCCTTATAGTAAGTGCATCCTCTACAGCCTAAACAAAAAAAAAAAAAAGATAAATACCTACTAAAGTTATAGGTTTTCATCGCTTTCATCTGTTGCACATGTCAAAACGGGCAAATGACACCAACTGTCATAATGACAAACACTTGCATTTTTTTAAATGGAACAACCTGTATATTTTTGGCTAGAATGATAGATATACCATTTATGTGGATATTTGGTTCAGCTGTTTTTACGCTATTTAAGTTTGAAAATGCATTTACATTATCCTGAATTAGGTTTGTTTCCGGTTTCTTATCAATGATGAGGCTTGCTCAATGCAATTTTGAAATTAAATAGCGCAAAAACAGCTGAACCAAATATCAGCATATCTGATATATTTGGAATGAGAAGAAAAAATGAATCTAGCCAAAAATATACAGGGTGTTCTATCTAAAAAAATGCAAGTGTTTGTCATTATGACAGTTGGCACCTGTCATTTTCCCATTTTGACATTTGCAAGAGATAGTAGAGATAAAAAAAAATTAAAAGTATTAATCTACATTACATTTCAGTGAACTCCTGAATTTTTTAGTCAGCAATTGATTTTTTTTTTGTTCCAGGTTCACTGTTAGAAAAAAACCATCCCCAGTCTCCCTGTTATAAGAAGGCCGCATAGCAAACCTCTCCATCAATTTGACTCAAAAAGTCAAGCCAAGACAACATGGTAGGCTTTCCAAGAAATTCTCCGACTACAATCGACACGACCAATACCATTTTAGAACAACAAGCACAGGGCCACTCATCATCAACAAGGTTTTCTTTAACTACTGCACCATCGTATGTTTCCATGCCTCAACAGCATCAACGACAACCACAAGCAGCCACATCCATAGATCCATTTATTAATAACAATCCATTGTTTAACAATGGCCCGATTGGATCCTCGTTTCGGCAAGGATTTACAGCTTCAGTTGCGGCTAATGATCCATTGTCCAACAATAGTTTGAATGACTCCTCCTTCTCGCAAGGTTTCAGAACTTTCAATTCTATTTTTGATCTCAATGATCCATGGTCCAAAAATGATGTATATAGTCCCTCCTTCCGGCAAGGTCTAACTACAGCCCCGGATCCTATTAACAATTCATTGTCTAACAATGATCAATTTGGCCCAGGCCTTTGCTTCCAGCAAGGTTTTTCTGCTACAACCGCTCATATCAATGACTCATTGTCTAACGATGGTTCATTTGGTCCCTCTTTTCGGCAAGGTTTCGCTATAGCTCCAGTTCCTATGAATGATCCATTGTCCAACAGTGCTCAATTTAACACCTCATTCCAACAAGGATTGTCTACATCATTAGCTTCAGAACCATTGTCCAACAATGGTCCCTTTGGTCCCTCATTCTGGCAAGGTTTTTATGTTAACTGCTCTTTGTGTCAGCAGAAAGACCAAGCGAATGCTAAATGTTACGAGTGTAACGTCCATTTATGCGCTAGTTGTGTTTACAATCATGAACGAGCTAACAATACACACTTCCATACTATTTTTCATTTCGGCTCGTTAGCCGATCGCGTGTCTCCCAATGGAACAAGGAATTTGGATCAACAAATTGTCTCTGGAACCAACGAGCAGAGTAATAACAATAATAACAGTGATGGTAATAGTCATAGCATGTCAAGTGATGAGTCTAATGGGTCTTCTAGCAAAGTAGTTGGAGCTGGTCGGCGCACTGTTAGTGAAAGCTCAAGAAACTCTTCGTCATCTTATGACGAATCAGTGACACTTATGATGAATAATATGTCCCTTTTAACTTCCTGCTCTTCATTGTATCAATCGGACACCCTTTCACCACCTATAGCTAGGAGTTTATTACAGATAGCAACTCAAGAAGAAAAATCTTTGAGCCAAGGAGACTCCAATAACACGATTTCATTGCCAACTGGCCCCGTGGAGATGGCCCCATGTGAACGCCATGAAATGCAATTTTATTATTTTTGCAATCAGTGTATGGTACCAATGTGCGAGGCTTGTGTTCATGAGCGTCACAGAAACCACCGGTTATTGTTTATCAGCGAGGGCCTGCAAAAAGCTTCTGAAATGTCAAGCGATCTAAATTGCCAATTAAGGGAAGTGACAGTGCTATTACGTCAGACATTGGATGGATTACATCGTATGCGTGAGACTATCGAACAGAGAGCCCAGCAAGTGTCCGTTGACATTAGATGCGCGACAGGACGGGTTGTGGAAGCGATAGAGGCCGAGCGAGAAGATAATTTGCATAGAGTTGAACAGGCGAAACAAGTTAAATTGAAACATATTTTCTATCAAATGCATAATGTCCGCACGCATTATAGTACCTTGGCTCGTGCTATGGACATTCTAACTAATCCAGCAATATATAGTAATCCCGTCGAAAACATGGCTGCTAATTATCAAGCCTTTAAACAACTGTCACAAGCAAGGAATATGGGAACTTCTAGTTTTCCGATTGAAGATAAATTATTTAGTTTTGTACCAGCTACTGAAGTTCGATTGCGTTACAGAGGATGTTTAGGGAAACTCCAAATTTCAGACGCTCCACTCACAAAGTCCTCGTTGGTTTGCAGGCAGCCTCTATTGCGTATGGCTCCAAGCATACCCGAACCAGTTTTTCCGTTACCTCGCGCCAAAGCTAGGCCTATTTTTGGCTGCAGAGAAATTGTTTCAATACAAAAAACTGGCAGGATCCCGAAATTAGTTTGGGGCAAAGCTGGTAATAACAGTGGCGAGATGTGTCGCCCTTGGGGTATTACTATTAATCGTCAAGGTCAGTTTATCATGGCTGACCGAAGCAACAACCGAATTCAAGTTTTCGATTGTGAAGGCAATTACTTGTTCCATTTCGGCACTCGTGGTACTGGTGAAGGGCAATTTGATCGTCCCTCAGCAGTAGCAGTAAACCCCAATGACGATTTGGTAGTAGCTGACAAGGATAACCACAGAATTCAAGTCTTCAATCGTTTGGGCGAGTTTTTGTTTACTTTCGGACAGAAAGGAGAGCGCATTGGCGAGTTTCTCTATCCTTGGGACGTGGCTTGTGATAATGGCGGCAATATAGTAGTGTCTGATGCACGCAATCATCGTATACAATTATTCCGTTGGAATGGCATTTTCATCACTAAATGGGGAGGGGAGTCAAATCTACCAAAGGCATTTGACACTCCCAGAGGAGTTACGTTTGATCCGTATGGCAACATCCTTCTAACTGATTTCAATTTGCACCGAATTGTTTTCATTAACAGAGTTACTGGGCTAATAAGGTAAGATTGAATTTTTGATAGGTCATTGAATTGTGCTCCGCTCCTAATAGCTTTGATCTTTTTGTCTTATTATCTTCTATATCATATTAAAGTTGTACTATATCTGATCAAGTCTAGGCGCCTTCAAATTCTTATCAATTTCGTATTGGAAAACTTTTTCTAAATTTTGATTATTTTTCAGAACTATGGGAGTTTTAGGAAACGAAAAAGGACAATTCAATCGTCCTCAAGGCATTATCTGTGATGACAAGGGCTGGTTTATTGTAGCGGATTCGCGAAATTATCGTTTTCAGGTGAGAATACGTTTATTTTCTACAGTAACTAAGCTTCAACTAAACCGAGACAACGGGTTTTGTGGTAACGTGTAGGTACACGTTTCATACGTTTTGTCAAAAACCAATCAAATATTTGAAAATTTTGTTTCCGTTAACTACCTATAGCTTTCAATCATTTTTAACTATTAATTATTTAATACAAAAGGGTAGAAGTATACCACATGTAAAAAAATTAAGGTTAAGCCGTTATTGGGGTCTGTTGGCGCTACACCCAAAAGACAGACAGACCGACAGAATTGAGAAAACATTATTTTCGTAATCTGGAGACTTGGAAACGTATAAATGTGAAAAAATCTCGAGGTAGATTTTTTATGTGAATACAATACTTCCCTTACTATCGAGGGAAGTAAAAAGTGTGAGATAATTTGCCGGGGGAAGTCATGGGTAAAGGCTTCTACCAATTTTTTATTGTGAATTCGTAAAAAACGTGTTTTTCGTCTTTATAATGTGAAGTCTCAGAATTTCAAAATATGGAAGAGGTAAAGGCTATCTGGGATGTCATCGCCTCTGACAAAACTTGTATGAAGTCACACAATAGATTTGCAAAGGGCCAGTATTCCGATGCGAATAATTTTCTCAATTTCTGTTTAATTTGAACCATTTAGAGGAGATTAGTTTTCATAGACTAGGATGTTCTGCCGTCAAAAGTTGGCAGTTTGAATTGGCCGATCACGAAAGTGCTCACCGGCATATCCACTCTGCTACTACTTTTGTTGCTGTTTTCAACAACTTATGATACCCATAGGTTTTTTACGTATTATTAGTTGTAGAACATAAGAAGTAGGCAATTTTATTTTGGCTTAGACTTTTAGGGAAGCCTTTTTAAAGTTTACGAATACTAGTATTAGTGGTTTGTTGTATTTTATACCTCTTATAGTTAAAAGATTCTGTGGCTTTCATTGTTAGGATATGGTCGTCAGCTTTTTCTTTCGAGAGGTAAAGCTTTGATTTATTCGTCAGACGCTTACTGAGAATCTTTGTGCATAATATGTATACACTATTGAGTTGAGATATCTTTGTGTTATCTCCCTTTTTGTGTAAAGCGACAATTATTGCATTTACCCATCGTTTTGGGGTTGTTCCTCCCAACAAAGCACTTTTTGGTGATAATTTCTAGAGATTCAATCACGGCTCATCATCCGCCCATCTTCATACTTTCTATCATCACTCCATCCTCCCCACGAGCCTTGTTGTTTCTCAATGCCATTCTAATTCCTTGTTCCTTTATTTCAAGCATTTTTTGGGGTCCCTTGTTCAACACATATCGGTGTGAGTCTTTTTTTTATTGAATACAACTTCTGTAGAATGTTTCGATAATAGTCTCTATAGCTTCTCTTTTTTTGATTTTTCATTTTATGTATGCATGTCTTTTTTTTTCCTATGACGTTTTCTTATTCTTTTTTGTTGATATTTATGTTTTCTTGCAATAGGTATATAATTTCTCCTCTCTGTTTCAAAAACAAATTAGTAGGTGTACATGTCTGAAAATGTATTTATTTATGTTCGCCAAACTAAATAGAGGTTATAGACGAAACTTTGTTGGCTTTAGTAGGTACGTACAGGGCCTGTTCCTTATAATTAGTGTGGCTTTCACAGCTTAACCCTCGGGCAGGCGCGCTATCGGTTTTTTATGCCGCCTTTTTACCAATTCAACGATTTCGCAAATATTTTGGATTTTATCATATTGTCCGTCTAGCTATGCTCAAATGACTATATTAGCAAACCTACTAGGCACAATTTACGACCTTAGAGCGCTTGTTCAGATGTCAGTGGGTTCTTGAACTTGCAGGTGTTGAGTTTTCGGCATTCCGTTCCCTCAGCGCGCCTGGTCATGTAAGTAAAATTGAAAGGGGAATAGTACAAATATTATGAATATTACTTTTGTGTTTTTGCGAAATTAGTATTAAGGATTTCATTTAGTTGCCTAGAATTACAATTTACTTAATTTTTTTACTCTATTTAAAAATAAATTTTGATATTTTGAATCATTTCGTACATTTTTCTGCAGGCGGCATGCAGTGCCGCAGCGCGCCTGCTAATGTGATTTTCAAATGCGCGCCCGCCCGAGGGTTAAACAAAAAAAAAAAAAAATTAAAAAAAAAGTTAAACACAAAAGTTGTAGGGTTTTATCTCTATCATTTTTTGCACGTGTCAAAACAGGCAAATGACGGGTGTCAACTGCCATAATGACAAACACTTGCATTTTTCTGAATGGAACACCCTGTATATTTTTGTCTTGAATGATTGATTTTTTTCTTCTGATTCCAAATATACCATATATGTTGATATGAGGTTCAGCTGTTTTTGCGCTATTTAAGTTTAAAATTACGTTAGGTAAGCCTCACCATTGATATAATGAACCGAGGTCAGATATAATTTACTTTGGCCCGGTTTATTCATCTTCAGATAAACTTGCTGGTAAGTATCTGCAGGATAACTTCACCGTTCTATAATTCTATTGGTCGGCGGATAACTAGCCCACCAATGGGATTACAGATTGTGTATTTATCCGTCAGATTGCATTCCTGACAGTTTATCAGAAGGTGAATAAACCGGCCCTTAGGGTAATGTAAATGCATTTTGAAACTTAAAGCGTAAAAACAGCTGAACCAAAAATCAACAGGGTGTTCCATTTAAAAAAATCCAATTGTTTATCATTATGACAGTTAATATTACCTTGCATTTTTTGGGACTTACACCTCAATTGAAATTGTTACCAGAAGTTTTTTGATCTTGACACGAATTACTACAAGCTCTCTGATTAGAGCTATTTTACCTATCAGATTATTTTTATAAAATAAAATACTCGAATCGAGTTATATTTTATTTTAATAAAATAATACTTATAATAATTAGGTTCAGAGTTATGACTTCTGGACTTTTTGCTGACGTTTCGGTACCAAATCTGCTACCGTTGTCGAAGCTTGGGGGATAAAACACCTAAAAAATAAAAAAGGCAGAAAATTGTTCGTATTTTTCGTAAATTTGTTCGAGAACTCGAATTTGAGTCTTCAAGCAAAAATTACAAATTTGACTAATTTGTAATTTTGCATTGAAACATCAGCAAAAAGTCATACCTCCGAGCCTAATCAAGTATCATTTCAATTGAGGTGTAGGTCCCAAAAAATGCAAGGTAAAATTATAAATCCACCTCAAACATACAGACATTTATTATTATGACAGTTGGCACCTGTCATTTACCTGTTTGTGCAAAAGGGTTTTATCTCTATAAAACCCTACAACTTTTGTATTTAACTTTTTTATTATTATTTTTTTAGTTCTAGAAGCCGCACTTATTATAAGGAACAGACCCTGTACATATACTAACTTCGACTGTGCGAATACAGAACTTCGATTTAATGACGTAATGTTCACCCATTTTCTCGAGTGCTATTAAATCCATAATGCTTTAAGTCGAATGCAATTTTTTTTTTGGTAGTACTTCTGCGCCTTCGTAATTTGGGTTACTTTTGCACTTAATTTGGGCAATCAAATCAACAAAAAATAAGATTTACACAAAAGGAAATATGCGTTTCTCCACTCGATGTTGATTTGACTAAAACGAAAAAATGCCGAATATAGATCTTCAAGCGGTCTATAAATTAAACTTAAATGTCAAAATTTGACGCAGAAGTAATCGATTCTGGCCCAGGTCTATTTTGTGTTCATGTTCTTTGGTGTTACATGGCAGTAGCGTTAATGGCCGACTTTTATGGGCATGTACTTTTTGCGCATTTTCTTCTCGCTACATGGCAGTGGCTTCAATGGCCGACTTCGGAAATTAGCTATAATATGAACTAATTTGTTCGTTTTACATTTTATGATAATCAAGTTAGTTTGAGTTAGGGCAAGATGATCTGATATGTGAGGATCAGTTGAGTCGGTTTCAGTCGGTTTGTTTTCATGTTATGTAAAGATGCTATCGAAACCTACAGTAATTTGCATAGGTGCCGTTTTTGTTCTGGAAAAATCAGTCCAATAGTTCACACATGAACCGATTATCCGGGTCGAATATTTGGAAAATGGCTAAAGAAGATAACCAATGGCCATAGCTGAGAATGCATTAGCCTCTGGGCACCAGTTGGTCGTGCTCCTATCTTGACAAAGCTCATCCCGTTTTGTCCTAAGTCCTTTGCAAGTGGCATTCTGTACCCTGTACCCCAGCATTATTTACTTATAACACGGTAGCTATCTATCAGAATCGGTATGAGGTGCAAAGCAAGCCTGAAACAAAGATCCAAGATCTGTTGTTTCTGAATTTTTAGGAGTCTCTTGCTCGTCTCCGAGGTTCAGTACTGGTTAATCGAAAAGCTTACTCCTCTCAATCATTCATCTCACAACTCACATTTCACTATAGCTCGATACATGACCGTAGTTGATATGTCTTGATTTTTGGAAATATGTACATGCTATTTCAGCCTTAGGCGTTTTCCAATTTGCCAGAAATATTTCGCAAAGTGACTTGAGATACTTGGTGTATGGTATAATGGAATGTGTCAGAATATCCATACGAAGCTTATCAAACAAGGCTGGCTTTAGTTTCCATAGTCACCTAGATAAGTTGAATGGCTATCTTATTGGAGCCTTTGGACTTTTTTGACAAACTTATTTGAATAAAAAATAATTGATAATTTTTTTGACAAATTAAAAATTGTAGGCATGTAAAAAAATTGATAAACAAATACAGGGTGGCTCAAATTCGAGCCTCATACTTGGGATCTAAGAAACCGCAAGAGATACGGGGTCGGCTCAATTATGGCAAAGTTGCGCATTTTGATGCATAATATAATGTCGTTTTAAAATTTGAGAAATTCCGAATATTTCCGGAAATATCCGGAAAATTCTGAATATTGCGATTCTGGTTTTTATCTCAATCATCAACCTAATTTTTTCTAATACGGCCCTTGATTTTTTTTAACATAATTTGTTTGGTTTTGAGATTCTAAAATACGTCATGTATAACACGTTTTGAAATTCCGACGTTTCGACCGGAAATATTCATCCTCAGGCAAAATTATTACTATAATTTTCGAATACGATTTAGAGTTTCAATCCACATGCAAATTTTAGTTAAAAGACGTGATTTAATCTAACTTCTTGATTTCTGGCAAAGTTTTTGTAGTTTTAAAATCGATTTTCAATTACTTTAGCTCGGATGGAGTAAACTTCTCTGTTTTGGTTTGTATAAGAAGATCTAAACTACTGGACAATTGCTTTTAAGCAAGGAAATTTTTTCTCTTAACTTCAGTTCAGTATTTCAGAACCAGAACAAATATCGACCTCCGGTTTTCAAGGGCTGACAGATTGACTTTTTATGAAAAAAAAATGTATATGGAAACGAGAGGTCGATGGTACAAAAGAGCGCAGGTCAAAAGAGCGCAGACAAAAGAGCGCAGGTCAAAAAAGCGCACGGCAAAAGAGCGCACGGACAAAAGAGCGCAGGGTCAAAAGAGCGCAGGGTCAAAAGAGCGCACGGACAAAAGAATGCAGGGTCGAAAGAGCGCAATAAGCGCGCATTGATTGTTTGAACGTAATTAAGTATTTGAATAACATGGATGTATATCAGAGATTACTCATTGTTACTATTTATGCTGACTTACTCAAACTAACCCAAACTAACCCGATCGCCTAGTGCGATCTAGTCCTCGTAAGTTAGCATTTTATTCGAAAAACAAGGCGTCCTTTGTTGTATTTTATAAAATATGCGCCCTTTTGTCCGAGCTATTTTGTCCACGGTATATTGTCCGAGCGCTTTTTTGTCCGTGCGCTTTTTCTCCATGCGCTCTTTTGTCCATGCGCTCTTTTGTCCATGCGCTGTTTTGACCCTGCGCTATTTTGTCTGTGCGCTTTTTCGTCCGTGCGCTCTTCTGACCTGCGCTCTTTTGTTCGCGCTATTTTGACCTGCGCTCTTTTGACCTGCGCTCTTAAGTACCAGCGCCGATATTTTGTCTCCAGAAATATCGAGCTTGAAAGTTAAGCGAAATTTTTCTTTTGCTCGAAAGCAATTGTCCATCAGTTTAGTTTGAGACGCGCTTTTCAGCACACCTGATTTAGCCACAAAAATTCCACTTTAGGGTGAAGTTCTTTTTAGACATACCAAAAAACTCCGTTACTGCTGTCCCTTACTTTATACAGGTGGCACATTGGAAACCTGAATAGCCTTCAAAAGAACCTGAATCAAAGAGTGGTTTGGTTATAAAAACGTATGTCGCGTCGGTTTTCATAAATAAATGTCACGCCGACACATTTGTTTCTTTATTTGTCAGAAAATTTTTGCTCGAGAAAATGCCCTTTTTTGATAGAAGAATAAAGCAGAATAGTGAGTAGTTGGAAACATCATAGCCATCTTTGATTTACGTCTTTTCTTTGACGACCTATTATGTAAATGACGCCACTTGCATGATATTATAATTTAATAAACATAATTTTCTTTCAGGTGTTTAATGAAGATGGGAAATTTCAGTGGATGGCGGGCATCGAAGGCAAAGATGAACCAGAAGAACTGGATAGACCGTGTGATGTTGCCTTGGATCCGAAGGGCAATATTTACGTAATCGATTTTGGCAACGATCGCATCAAGGTGTATTAATTCTTTTATTTTTTGTTTTAAACGTGTTCCAGTTTTGTTAAAATTATTTTTTTATCACGGTTTCCAATGTATTTCTTACTTACTGTTTTTTATAGTCAAAGATTTATAGTTTTTAATTTTTAATGTTTTGACATTTGGTATAAATATGCCAACAGATTGAAAAGTTTAAAAGGAGTTTATAATGGGGTATATTGCAATTTAAAGGTGCTAGAAAAACGTTATAAACTTTTCAATGAAAAAAAAATCAAAAAGAATAATTTTTTTATGTGTTCAAAACTTGAGTGTAGGTACTAGACTAAGATGTAATTACTTGATTCTCAAGTACTTATGTTCTTTTTATTTTAGATTTAGGTCATTATTATTTTTTTATTCTAGGCATTATTGAGTAGGTATTAGATATTAGCTTACCTAAATATCAGGGATGCCAACATACTGACCTATAGCTTTTATTTGGCATCCCTCAAAGGAAAAGAGTTCCTAATTTTACAATAAAGATAGTGAGTGTGGTGCTGTGTGGAGGCATGCAATGCCAAATTGGTTGGGTGAGGGCATTTGATGTCATTTTTTTGGTAGAAGGCTGAAAAATTAAGTCTGATTTTTTCTATGGTAATAATTTAGTGTATTTTAAAGCACACAATTGTGCTTTAACCAGAGTACAAACTTCGAGTATATACTTATGTATGTTTCACATCGCCCTAGTGTTAGCCCTCTCCCTCACTTGAAAGAAATTATAATTTATTGAATATCAATCGTTCGAGATGTATTCGGTACCTACAACCTATTGTTTTTATTTCAGACATTCAATTTCCCATTAAGAAACATTCACATTTTATATGAAACTGGCCACCGCACTTGTCCAATTTTTTAAATCAAATTTCTCTGAATCACAAAGAAATAGAACTTCATTTCGTTTCCTCATAAAGTACCTATCAAAGATTAAAAATGCTGTCTCAAACCTTCTGGGATTGATTAAAAAAACGTAAGTAATTCGGGACAGCTTCACATCAAATTTTAATTTATTATTTTATTAGAAATTGATCAAATAATTGCTATGAAATAAATCTCAAACGATTGGCGTGAAATTTGAATTGGAGGGTTAACATTATATTGTGTTATTTTTTACTAGCTTAAATATTAAGAATATCTTTAAAAAATTATGACTTGATGGTTTTATTATAATATAGGAGTCTAAGACTGATTGTTGGCCTTTTTTACAAAAAATAATCGATGATTATTTTGCATTCACCAGAGTGTAACTGAACTTTTCAGTACCCAAGCTGAATATCTCAGGATTGACTTATAACTTCTAAGACTGATAAGAGAATCTTTTTATAATAAAAAATTATACTAATTACCCAGACTACAGTTGAGTACAAATTCCAAGCCTGAAAGTAGACATAACTCAGGTTTTTACAGTACTTAATTCATTTTAGATACTAAGACTGATCGAACGCATTTTTCTGTAACTATAAGTATCGGGTCTTCGAAAAAAAAAAACTAATCAAAAATTGATTAAACGCATGTCATAGCAATATTTTTCTTTAATTTTCTCAATGAACGTTAATATCAAGATGTCATGTCAAAAATCCTGACCAATAAAGAAACAATAATGCGACGTACGTTTTCCTAATCAAAGCAATCTTCGATTGTTTTTTTTTTTTTGAAGACCCGTTAGGTACACTATTGTGAGATTTACCTAATCTGCCTATGTTAAATATATCATTGCCCCTTCTGCTAAATTAAACAATATTTTGTGGTGAATTTTTCGGCAAATCAAAGCTGTAATTTAAAAATTTAATAAGATTGTGTTAGCTGACTTTATATATTGAGTCAGCAATAATAATAATTATAATTTTGTTGGCGTTAACTAATTTAGGCAATATCGTTGTTAACGATGAAATTTCAAGAGCCCCATTCCTAATAAGGGCTTAAGAATAGAGTTACTTGAGCATGTTCTTTAGTTATAGTATCATTTTCATTTGTCACTCGCTTTTGACGGGTTTTTATATTTTTAAGTTTTATAAGAAAGTGCTGTAATAAATTTATTCAGTAATAAAGTTGCATATAGTTTTTAGTCAGACTGAAATATCATCAATATATTGCGTTTTTTTTTAGTAATAAGTTTAATGGAAAAATATTGCACAAGAGTTCATCAACTTCCCACTAAGCACAAAAACATTCTATTCCCGTTCAAATAATGTCTTCATGTTTCGCTGTAACATTACACAATTTGAAACATCTCAATATGTAGTAACATTTTCGCAACGAAAACATCTCTCCCGAACCTAACATTTCTATCAGAAAAATATCTGAAAAACTTTACATTTTCATTATGAAAAATCTCAAAAACATTACAATTCTATAACAAAAACATATTTAGAGGATGAACATTTCATGGACTCTCACTCAGACTTTTTTCGCTGATTACTTACCCTAAGTCAGCCCTTTTTTTATGGACACACATGTTTTTTGGTTTAAATTTTACCATTTTCAGATAGTTAACGTAATATCTTTGTTCGTGAAACCTCTAATGACCCTAATGTGACACAAATTATCAAATATATAAAAGAAGGTCAAGTTTTGAAAAATTTCAAAAATAAATGTATTGTACCAAAATTTTGTACTGAACTCATTTAGGATTTGATAAATATAAAAATCGAGCAAAAAATATTCTTTTTTTGGCAAAGAAATTGAGGATCTGATCAGAAATTGCAAAACTTGTGCCAAGTTTCAAAAAACCACATAGTCATGAAGAGTTGATCGTTAGGGAAATTCAAACCATTCGAAGTAGAAGGAGAGGACATATTTATTGATTTCATACAGTTACACTCTGAAACAGTAGAAACGGTTATTACCTACCTCATTGAAATCTGCCTTTGCTAGATGCAGAAAAATTTATATATTCTGACGTTGGAGTGCAGTGCAGACATTTTCAATTTGAAGATTTTTGCAAAGTTTGGCAAATAAATCATGTTTTGTCCAGTCGGAACTATCACGAATCTAACGGTATGGTAGAACGCTGTCGGAATTTGTAAACTAATGCTTAAAAAAGCTGTTGATTCAGGAGCTGATCCATAAATTGCATTAATGGAATATAGAAATTCACCAATAGATCCCAAAATTAACAAATCTCTTTCAGAGTTAGTTTTTGGCCGACAAGTTAATGCGTTTTCACCGGGTCAGTCAAGTTTGCCCCCCGTGCCGCCCCGATCTCAAAACAAACTAGGTATGTCATAATTTTGCACAAATTTTGCACAGCCAAAACCAAATTTTGCACACCCTCCGCCGAGAGACTACAGCCGATTTTTAGATGGGGGGCAAACTTGACGGTTCCCCCCGACCTCAACCAAACTCAAAAATTCTTTCACTGTTAGATTCTCCTAATTTTGTACACTAATTTTCAAATTTTGTACACCTTTGTGGAGAGAGTTATCGACCATCAAAGAATCAATATTTCCCCCTCGACCTCAACCAAACTTGAAAATTCTTTCACTGTTAGATTCTCCTAATTTCAAACACTAATTTTCAAATTTTGCACACCTTTGTGAAGAGAGTTATCGACCATCAAAGAATCAATACTTCCCCCTCCGACCTCAACCAAACTTAAAAATTTATTTACTGTTAGATTCTCCTAATTTTGCACAATAATTTTCAAATTTTGCACACCTTAATGGAGAGAGTTATCGACCATCAAAAAATCAATATTTCCCTCTTGACCTCAACCAAACCCAAACCCAATATTTCGTTTACTGTTATATTCTACTACCACCAAAATTACATAGTTAATCCCTTTTTCCTTTTTCTTTTATTAATTTCACTTTAACATTTTTAAGAAAGTGTATAGGTCACCTACTGTGATCTGCACTTTGTGGTTAGCAATTTATTGTCAAAATTAGATTTAAACAAATGCTTCTTGAAAAATGCTCTCTGCCCTATAAACCCGCAATACCTACTCTTTCAATACCAACAATGTTAAATATTTGGAACTTAGATCCTTTTAGCGTATAACAGGCACTGGCGCTTGAACCATGTGCAGATTTGGTGATTACAAAATAGTACATTTAGCGGATAGCACATAGACCGTTTTGTACGCTATTGGTCTTGGCACACAGACCCCTAAACAAGTATAATCTAAAATTTGGTGAAAGCGGCACTTCAGACCCTTTTGAATTTCCACTCTTCAATTATTGTATTCTCTAATGCGAGAACATCGGTAATTTGGATTTCTATGGATTGTCCACGTCAAATTCATAAATAGTACAAGAAGCATTTGTTTAAATCTAATTTTGGCAATAAATTGCTAACCACAAAGTGCAGATCACAGCAGGTTACCTATACACTTTCTTAAAAATGTTAAACTGAAATTAATCATTCAATTAGTCAAGAGGGAAATACTGATTTTTTGATGGTCGATAACTCTCTCCACCAAGGTGTGCAAAATTGTGCAAAATTAGATGACTGTAACAGTAAAAGAATTTTACTACACTGAAAAAACAGCTCCCCTTACCTCAAGGTATTCAGTGATCTTGAAATAAATTGTCTTATATGAAGAGTTAATCTATTGCATGAAGAAAAATTACTTTGTGTTGAGAATTTCGTGGTTCTTGATATTTTTTAAAATTACTCTTGAATGACATTGCTTTCAGGCGAAATTATATTCTCTTATACCAAGAATAATCTTTTATTGCATAATTGTTAAGCTCCTTGTTTTTTGATGGAATATTCCAAAATCCTATCCAAAATTCAAGTTTCTGCCGATGCCCTCCAACCCAGTTGTGTAGTGCCTAGCAGTATAGTGTAACGTGCTGCCTACGACCTACTCGGACGTGTGACTACTTTTCAATTTGAACAGTTATATCCCGTTTCCTATGGGTGTTGCCCAGGATAACACTGCGTCAACGTCAGGGGACCAAAATTATCTTGCAATCCTGTTTGGAAAATACTTGTGATGGCCCCAATACAAGAATTTTTGGAGGCAAGCAAGTTGTCCCACTACTCCCACTTGTTGGAAAAGTTTGAAGGTATATAATATAATGTAAATTTTACAAGTAGTAGGTACTTAATAATTATGTTTCCAATTT